AGCGCCACCTGCTGGCAGAGAGTGCATCTGCGTCTCATTCAGCTCGTCTGCTGTTTCTGTTTCATGCAGATATTTTTATGCATAGTTCCACAAAACTGAGGTCAAACCATTCTGTTTTTGCTTCAAATTTTGAAACTATACAATCTAATTTAGATTAAAAACTGCTGGTGTTGCATGTAAGCAGCATCTGTGTTTGGATCATGATTAAAACGCAGCGGTTGCCTCTAATTTTAAATGTTAAGAGCACAGACAAAGCCTTAGTTTGTTTATATGAAGAGATTTATTTTATTTGTGTTACTTATTTATTTGATTTGGGGCTTGTTTTAAAATTTCAATTTAGTTTGGTTATTTACATCTACATTATATTTCAATTTAGTCATTTAGCAGACGCTGTTATCCAAAGCGACTTACAAATGAGGACAACAGAAGCAAGCAAAACCAACAAAAGAGCAATGATATACAAGTGCTATATTAGTATATTATAGTGTTATATTTCAATTTCACTAAGAAATGTGCAGCATCTTGTCCAAGCAATAATAAAAGGACACATTTAATTTATAACTTGTCTTAAATCTCATTTTGTAAAATAATAATAATAATGGTGAATGGAATCGTGAGTTGAGTGAATCGTTACATCTCTACCAAACACTACATGCACGGGTCAGTTTGATCGGTTTTGCTTCCAAAGCATCTCTTCATTCAGAAAGCACATTTAACTGCTTACTTTATTGCACAGTAGACTGATTATTCAGCTTTTGCAATTAGTTAGAATATTGAGCTATATATATATATATATTCTAACAAATAAAGGTAACCACTTCAGCTTCTGAAAATCGTATGTAATTAGTTACTATACAATTCATTTATACAAATAAATATATAATCGGCACACAAAATGAGATGACAGAGAAACTCTCTCATTCACCATTTAATTAGCTAAATGAAAAAGTAACTGAATGACATCTTTCTGCCCGACTTCTCCTTTTGTGAGTCATATGGATAAGAAACTAAAAGGTGAGTGACGATGAGACGCTTTATTTTTATTCACAACATAATCTCTCTTAAAATACTTTATAACAGTCCTGAGCTAGATCAAGCTTCGATCTCTGCAAACCAAATTTTAACACCAGCTTAATGAATAATATTTTCACACTAATAAAGAGATGCTATCATTAGCGAGCTGCACACTGCAGAGCTGCTTTAGAACAGAACATCAGGGTTTTCTGAACAGCAGAGCTCGTTGAAACATCCACATCTCTGTAATCTGATGCTTTCTTAACTGCTGCTTTCTCACCGCTGGCAGCTTTTGTTGTGTTTATTTTGTTATTGAGAGGAAAGCGCGCAGCATATATTTACATATTCATCCAAACAGCACCACACTGGTCTGCTTAATATGCTTATATATATATATATATGCTTATGTTTGTAAAATGGCACAGCTTTTTAAATATCTGAAAGAACACTCAGTCAGTCAAGCATTATAATATCATTTTATGATAAGCAAGCATTATTTAATGATAGAACTTTAGTCATTAGAATTATAATAATACTACTATGAATTCTACAACTAATAACAATATAAAACGATTGATGAGCTGCTGGGTTCATGAATATTAATCACGTTGTCAGCGTTCGCTCAAACTGATTTGCTGAAATCAAAACAGGGACGATAATAGATGAGCGCCAGCCAATGAGATTGTGGCTTGTGCATTAGCTCCGCCCACTACTGGAGAAAACGCCGTATCTTATGGTTGTTCTTAAAAAAGCTGAAGAATTCCAAGTGAACGCCGTTATTTTAAGATGACAGATCAATTATAATAAACATACTGCAAAAAAATCAATGAGTAAAAATGCAAGGGGTGTACTTCTGCATCGATAGAGATTGAAACGTCAATCAAATATATAAAATCAATATATATTTTTACATTTTAACCCTTCTTTTATATATATATATATATATGCGTTTTTTTGTTGTTGTGGATGCCCCAATTTAGACACAGGATTTGCAATTTTCAGAGAGTTGAATTACTATTTATTTTGTTTGCATTTATGAGTTGTAATTGATATAAAGTAACTGAATGTGTAAAACAGACACATCATGATTGATATTTATCGATCACAGGCCACTGAATCGAATCGAAATAGTATCGCAGTATGTTTTGAGGTATCAGCACATATCTTCAGTGAACCAAAGTCATAGCCCTAATAAGTGTGTGCTGGATGCTGCCTTATAAGGGTGCTGTCCGTGTAGTTTTGGCACAGAGCCGGTCGACACACGAGCACTAATCTTCGAACGCAGTTTCAAGCAGAAGACCAAACACACGTGTCCTGGCACGCAAGGGTTTTGAAGCGGCTCCAAAAGCTCTCGTCTATTTAAAGCAGAAGCCTGAGGCTTCACTGTACATTATTTTAATTAATTTAACTGCTCTGTGTGATTAAAGAGATGGAGATGATATTTCACACAGCGCAGAACGAACATGACGAGTGTCAGAAAACAAAACATCCACAATCATTTCACTTCCGTCACGCGACGCAACATTTATGACTGAAACAGAACGTTCAGAGAGGAAGAACTGAAGAGCTGCAGCAGGACTCGATTCTCTCACCGGTTAACCAGCTGTAAAGACAGAAAGGCCGCGGTACAATCACTCAATAGCTGACTGTTGGTCGATGTTAACATTAACCAGCAGCGGAAAAGGGAGGTTATTATTTTAAGATGTAAGATTATGAAGACAAACATTTATTTCTATATAAATAAATAAATATTTAAATATTGTTTTACATTTTATTTAAATATTTATTTCTGTATAAATAAAAAATATTTAAATAAAATGTAAAACAATATTAAAATGTTATATATAATGTAAAAATAATTTTAGAATATAAAATATATTTTTTTTCTCAATAAAGCATAACATTTTTATAAAGACAAATATTTGTTCTTAAACTAATATTTTCTTAAATTAAGATATTTTTTAAATAAAATAAAAAAGATTTTTTTATAAATAAAAATTGATTTTAATACATAAAAATATTTTATAAATACATTTAATAAACTTTTTAGAAATAAAATATTTTTAACTATGTTTATAAATTAAAAAATTACTATAAATATTACATACAAATATTTTATAAATAAAAAGATTTCCATTTCATTTGTATATTTATTTGTATAAATATTTATCTATTATCAAAAAATATTAAAATAAATGTAAAAGAATATTAAAATGATGTTTAATTAAATATAAAATAGAATATAAAATCTAAAAATTATTTTAGAATATAAAATATATTTTTTAAATAAAAGATAACATTCTTATAAATACAAATATTTGTTTTTAAATTAATTTTTAAAATAAAAGTAACCTTTTTATAAATAAATATTAATAAATACAAATTAAATTAATTAAAAAAAATTATAAAAGTAAAATTTTTATAAATAAAAATAAATTTCAATACATACATATTTATAGATACATTTAATTAATTTTTATAAATAAAACATTTTAACAATTTTTATAAATAAACTAATTTAGAAATAAAAAATAACTATAAATATTACATAAAAAGATTTTATAAATAAAAAAAGATTTTCAGTTCATTTTTATATTTATTTTATAAATATTGATCTATTATTATAAATAAAAATAGAGTTAATTTTGATGCCATGTTGACGTTAAAACTCAAAGGCAAAGGAAGCAAGCAGCTCTTACTTTTTCACATTGGCCTCTCCGTTGGGAATCCTCCTCAGTTTCTTCTTCTTCAGGATCTTAACGGCTCTGCGACACAGAGTCTCCGAGTCCAGCATCTCCTTGACCTTCCCGTAGGACCCTTCCCCGAGCAGATCCCCCATCAGGTACTTCTCGATCAGCTTGGCGCGCTTGCGTCGGGGCTGGTAGATGACCTCGGTGGAGTCGATGCGGTGGATGAAGGTGTCCATGAGCTCGTTCTCCGTCAGGTAGTCCAGATGCTGGAGCTCTCCACCTAAACTCATCTTCCCGGGGCTCACGCTCTCCCTCCGCCGATCCCGCGCTCTTACTGATTGCTCGACAGGAATATTTGTTTTCCGAAGGAGTAGTGGAGATCAGGAAGATCAGTCAATCGATAAACACCTGCTGCGGTTTAACCGAAGCATCGCGAACAGATCCGAACAATAACCTGAAACAAACCGCGTCTGCACAAGTCTGTGAGAATCCGCTGGTGTGGTTTCGTTTCAGTTCGTTTCGGCTTTATTAGTCTTCAGTCGCAGAAGACCTTGCATCCTCTTCAGCTGCACGTGAACGCTCTCTTTGGTGAGGATTACCGACTTCACTTCGGCATTACGGGAAATCCATGACTGAAATACCTACGAGAAATGAATCAGAGATTAATCAGGGAGCCTCAACATCAATCTGCTTATGAAGCAGCATAACACGCCTCATTAATGCCACACATCCACTCGTATGTGACCCTGGAGCACAAAACCAGTCATAAGGGTCAATTTTTTGAAATTGAGATGTATGCATCATCTGAAAGCTGAATAAATCAGCTTTCCATTGATGTATGGTTTGTTAGGATAGAACAATATTTGAAAATCTGGAATCTGAGGGTGCAAAAAAATCTAAATATTGAGAAAATCATCTTTAAAGTTGTCCAAATGAAGTTCTTAGCAATGCATATTACTAATCAAAAATTAAGTTTTGATATATTTACGGTAGGAAATTTACCAAATATATTTATGGAACATGATCTTTACTTAATATCCTAATGATTTTTGGCATAAAAGAAAAATTGATCATTTTGACCCATACAATGTATTGTTGGCTTTTGCTACAAAGTAGTGCTGGGCGGTACACCGGTTCATACCGAATACCGGTGTTTATTTTTGTTATGATATGAATTTTTAAAATACTGCAATACCGGTGTGTGTCGCTTAAACAAGGTTGTGAACGCGGCACTGTCTGAAAGGCGTCTCTTTTCACTGCTGCACTGTGGTGAGGGAACAGCTGTATGTGTTACTAAGCGTGAAAGCTCAGAAACTGAAGCTGTAGAACTAATAGAACGTGATGACACAGAAGAACTCCTCCACAATATCCACACTGACCTCCACAAATATCCAGCGCCCGCTCCATCAGCTCCCGCGTCTCACACACACGAGCGTGACTTTAGCTCTAGATTTAGCAACTTTCAGACCCTTTTAGCGGCTTTCTTCCAGAGAATATTCATACTGACAAACCTAGAGTCTTTTCTGGAGAAAGCTTAGCTATGGTTCAGCTGGAGGATTTCTCCAGTGCTGTCCCGCGAGCGCGAGGTCTGGCTTTCCCGGAGAAGTGTCGCCTCTCTCGGCGTGTGTTCTGTGCAGCGAGCGACAGAGAAGCACCGCAGCCGACTC